ATGAGGACGACGACGAAGATTCCATTGAATTGAGCGATTATTTCTATCTGGGCCAATATCTACGCGCATACGTTGTATCTGTTGGAAACAATGCGGCAGATGCTAGCTCCAAGAGTAGAAAACGCATCGAGCTCACGGTTGACCCGAGGCAAGCCAATTTTGGACTTTTGAAATCCGACCTCGTCGACAACACTGCCGTTCAAGCGTCGGTTGTAAGCGTCGAAGACCATGGTTTGGTTATGGACTTGGGGATTGAGGGCGCCGATATCAAGGGCTTCATGTCCAAAAAAGAAATTGATCCCAAGACGGATTACTCGACTATCAAGGAAGGATCAGTCTTCCTCTGCATGGTCACTGGCCAGAACGCCAACGGTAGTGTCTTGAAGCTGTCCGCCAACCTGCAATCTTCCGGATCTATAAAGAAGTCTCATTATCTCAGCACAGCGCCTACGATCAACTCCTTCCTTCCAGGCACAGCAGCTGAGATTCTTTTGACTGAAGTCACTTCAAGCGGAGCCACTGGAAAGATAATGGGCATGCTAGATACGACTGTGGATTTGGTGCAATCCGGTGGTAACTCGAGCAAGGACGATCTGGCTAATAAATATAAGATTGGTGCCAAAGTCAAGGGCCGCCTTATCTCCACCTTCCCCGCCTCTGATCCATACAAGGTCGGCTTTTCATTGCTCGACAATGTCTGCAAATTTACTTCCGAAGCCCAAGGACCTGGAAGCTCTGAAGATGCGCCAGCCATTTCTGCTATCGTGCCTGAGGCGAAGGTGATCAAGGTTGATCCTGGCCTCGGAGTTTACGTACAAATTGGATCCACAAAACACGTGGGATTCGTTCATGTGTCGAAGCTAGCAGATGGGCAGGTTGAAAGCATTTCTGCCGAATACGGGCCATTCCGAACAGATTCCACCCATGAAGGAAGGGTTATTGGTTACAGTGCCCTCGATAATTTGTATCTCTTGTCATTTGAGAGATCGGTTATTGACCAGCCTTTCCTTCGTATCGAGGATGTTACCGTTGGCGCTGTCGTCAAAGGAAAAATTGAGAAGCTGCTTATCGGACCAAGCGGATTAGATGGCTTGATCGTCGCGTTGGCTGACGGTGTCACCGGTCTGGTCCCATCTATGCACTTTGCGGACACGGCCCTTCAGTTCCCCGAAAAGAAATTCAGGGAAGGAATGACCGTTTCGGCTAGGATCTTATCGGTCAATGCAGAGAAACGCCAGATTCGACTCACTCTAAAGAAGAGTCTGCTGAACAGTGAATCCGCCATTTGGAAAGATTACGATAACATCGTTGCCGGAGCGCAGTCCCCTGGAACTATCGTGAACCTTAAGCCACATGGTGCTGTGGTTCAGTTCTATGGTTCCGTGCGAGGTTTCCTTCCCGTGTCAGAGATGAGCGAGGCCTACATCAAGGATCCGTCTCAGCACTTTAGGCTAGGCCAGGTGGTGAATGTCCACGCACTCAGTGTGGATTCGTCTCTTGAAAAGCTCGCTGTGTCCTGCAAGGATCCTTCCACCTTTACCGATACTTACAAAAAAGCTTTTGAAAGCATACACCCTGGCTTGCTGGTCACTGGAACGGTCTTCGAGAAGTCAAGTGACGACCTACTTCTTAAATTGGATGATTATGGCCTCGTAGCTCGGTTGAACCTCGATCATATGGTCGATGGCTCCCCCTCTAAACAGAGCTCGACCCTATCGAAGATTCGTGTTGGCCAAAAGCTCAATGAATTGCTTGTCCTCGATATCCAGCGGACTCGCAGGCTCATTCGAGTGTCAGGCAGGGCAAGCCTCAAGAAGGCTGCTAAGCAGGGACTTATCCCAGCAAGCTTTGAGGATGTTCAGGAAGGAGCCGAAGTTACTGGCTTCGTTCGGAACATAACAATGACCGGAGTATTCGTTGAGTTCTTAGGTGGTGTCATCGGCCTAGTGCCAAAACGGCTTGTTGGTGACGAAAGCATGAATAAACCAGATTTTGGCTTGACCAAGTCACAAGTAGTTTCAGCAACGGTACATTCTATCGATCCTGATTTCCGCAGGTTCATCCTGAGCAGAAATCCTGCCGAGGCAACCCATGCTGGTGCTAAAAAGCAGGCCGCGAAGTCCGCTGTCAAGAGCGCTCCTTCTGATGACATTGTTACCAACGCTGTCGACGAGAGCATCAATTCAATGTCTGATTTCAGTTTTGGGAAGGTTATTAAGTGCAAGATTGTTTCTGTGAAGGCGACACAAATCAACGTTCAACTTGCCGACAATATCCAGGGCCGGATCGATGTCTCCGAAGTTTTCGATAATTGGGAGGACATCAAAGACCGAAAGCAGCCTTTGCGGTTCTTCCGTCCCAAGCAACTTATTTCGGCGAGAATTCTAGGTGTTCATGACGCTCGCAGCCACAAGTTCCTTCCGATAAGTCATCGTACTGGGAAATTCCCCGTTTTTGAGCTCTCCCTGAAGCCAAGCTTCCTGCAGGCCGCCGATCCTCTCCCCTTGAACCTGGAACAAGTTCAAGCTGGCTCGTCGTGGTTGGGTTTCATCAACAACATTGCTGACAATTGCCTCTGGGTTAATCTGTCCCCTAATGTTAGGGGAAGATTGCGCCTCATGGATGCATCTGATGACTTGTCTCTTTTAGCCGATGTCGAAAAGCATTTCCCTATAGGGTCTGCCTTGAGAGTCAATGTCTCTGCGGTGGACATTGAGAAAGGTCGCCTGGATCTCTCGGCTAAGAAGGGCTCTGAGACTCTTTCCTTGGATGATATCACCGTCGGCATGATCTTGCCGGGAAGAGTCACTAAGGTCACTGAAAGGCAGGTCATTATGCAATTAACTGATACAATAGTCGGTGCAGTTGATATGATCGACCTGACAGACGACTACTCCAAGGCAAACCCCACAATCTATCACAAGAATGAGGTGCTCCGCGCTTGTGTCACCTCTATTGATAAGGTCAACAAGAAGATCTCCCTGTCTCTCCGCCCTTCTAAGGTCCTTAGTTCATCGCTCCCCGTTCAGGATCCTGAAATCACATCAATGGAGCAGGTCAAAGTCAATGATATTGTGCGAGGCTTCGTACGGAAGGTGGCTGATAATGGGCTCTTTGTGACACTGGGCCATGGTGTAACTGCTTATGTCCGTGTTTCTGACCTCTCGGACTCTTACCTTAAGGAGTGGAAGGATTCTTTCCAGGTTGATCAATTAGTCAAGGGTCGAGTCACGGTCGTAGACCCAGAACAGGGCAGGTTGCAAATCAGCCTGAAAGAGTCTGTTCTAGACCCCAACTATAAGGCACCGGTAAAACTCCATGACCTCAAGCCTGGCCAAATCGTCACCGGCAAGATCCGTAAAGTCGAGGAGTTCGGTGCATTTATCGTCATTGATGGTTCTGCAAATATCAGTGGCCTTTGCCACCGCAGCGAGATGGCTGAGAACAAGGTTGATGATGCCAGAACTGTGTACGACGAGGGTGATGCTGTTAAGGCCAAGATCCTCAAGATTGACCGCAAGCAAGGAAAGATATCTTTCGGCCTGAAGGCTTCTTATTTCAAGGATCAAGACGAGGACGATGTTGAAAGCAACGACGATGATGATGAGGATGATGATTCCGAAGGCATTAGTCTAGAAGGCTTTGGTGGTGTTGATGTAGATGAAGATGGCAGCGACGACGACAGCGACGTCTCCATGGGTGGAGTCGACGTTGAAGAGGACAGTGAGAGTGATTCCGAGCAAAGTGACGATGAACCCATGACCAAAGCTCCAGCAACCAAACAGGGAGGTCTCGGGGCAAGCGGCTTCGATTGGAGTGGCAATGTAATGGACGACGATGAGAAGGCCGCTTCGTCTGATTCTGATGACGAAGATGAGTCAGAGCGGAAGAAGAAGAAGAAACACCGCAAGCCTGAGATACAAGTCGATCGAACTGGTGAATTAGACGCCAATGGGCCACAGTCAGTGGCTGATTACGAGCGACTCCTACTTGGTGAGCCCGATTCATCACTCCTTTGGCTGAGATACATGGCCTTCCAACTAGAGCTTGGTGAAGTCGAGAAAGCAAGGGAAATCGCAGAGCGTGCTCTTCGCACCATTACCATTGGCCAAGATGCTGAGAAGCTGAACATTTGGGTGGCAATGCTCAACTTGGAGAATACTTATGGCAACGATGACACTGTTGAGGAGGTTTTCAAGCGGGCTTGTCAATACAACGACACTCAGGAAGTCTACGAGCGTCTGATCAGCATTTACATCCAATCTGGAAAGAATGAGGTAAGCTCGGTGTTCTCTGATAATGTCCACTTTTGTTCCGATGGCTAACTATAATTTCGTACAGAAAGCGGATGAGCTCTTCCAGACTGCTCTTAAGAAGAAGATCTCCCAGTCGCCCAAGTTTTTCCTGAACTACGCCAGCTTCCTGTTTGACAATATGGCTGCTCCAGAACGTGGACGTGCCCTTCTGCCTCGTGCTCTGCAGTCGCTTCCTTCTCACACTCACGTCGAAACTACATCCAAGTTCGGACAGCTTGAGTTCCGCTCTGAACACGGAGATGTTGAGCGCGGCCGCACGGTGTTCGAGGGTCTCCTCTCTTCGTTCCCTAAACGGATCGATTTGTGGAACATCCTCTTGGATTTGGAGATCAAGAATGGCGATGCCGAGCAGGTCCGTCGTTTATTCGAACGTGTCCTTGGAATCCGGGACTCCAAGAAGGGCGTCGCGTCTGTAGAAGCGAGCAAGAAACTCCGGCCCAAGCAGGCGCGGTTCTTTTTCAAGAAATGGCTTGCTTTTGAGGAGAAGCTTGCATCAGCTGATGGTGGTAATGAGAAGATGGTGGAAGACATCAAAGCCAAGGCAGCAGAGTATGTCAAATCTCTGCAGCAAGAGTAGACTCTGCGTCCTGTGTGAACATATCGTATGATAGCATTGTGTTTGGGTCATAGATACTGTATATAAAAAGCTTTCCAACTGTGATATCTTATTCTCTACAATTTACAAGTATGATACCATGCAAGCGTGCGATGAGAGTGCTTCGTCAAAGTAGATTAGAGGAACCACATGGACACCTCGGCGATCAGGAGATAAAATTATGGATAAAGAAAAACTTGACGACTATACGCCTTCCGCCAAAAATGAAAGAAAGAACTAAGCTGTTGTCATAAACCCAGCCAGGGATTTATCGCCTCTTTTCAGCCATCAACCTCCGGTACTCCTCCACGATAGTTCTCCTCTCGTTAGCCAACTCCTCTCTTTTTCTCAAGCTACCGACAGCAGTCGGCACGTTAGCAACATCGACTCTAGCACCGCCTCGGACCTTGAAAATCTCCCTTGGCTTCGTCAATTGCGGCGGTGCCTCGGCAATTTCGAAAGGATTCGCCGGCTTGTTCAAACGGTCCTTGCTCTTCAACTTCGCCCAAGGATCTGATCTATCGGCACCCTGTCCACCCTTCTTTCTTGCACCAGCTCCCTTCTTTTTCGCCTTGCCCTGGCCGGCCTCCACTTCCCACTCCTTCCATAGTTCTAATTGGTCTTCTAGTTCTGCCTCTCGCTCTTCACGCTCAGCAGCCTCACGTTCTTGGATCTCCGCCTCCTCCTTCCGCCACTGCGATTGTAGTCGGAGCAAATGTTTCTCATGTTTCGTTACTTTATGCTCACGAATATCAGCGATATCAGACTTTGTGGGTTTCCCAGATCTCTTCATGCCAGCAATGGGCATTTCGCGGTCTACTCGCGCCGCGAAATCTGACAACTTCTCTCCCGGAAGAATCTTCGGCTTCACTTGGGGTTCGGCATCGGTACTCTGCTCCACTGCCACCGCTGGGGCAGCCTTCTTGCGCGTGGTTTGTGTCGCATTCTCAGTGTTTTCCGCTCCTCGTTTCCGCTTCTTATTCTCGCCAGCACTTGGTTTCGATGGCGCCTGCTTTCCCTGGGTCTGAAACTGCATCAACCGGCGAAAAGCTTTGGGGGTATCATCGTCTGCAGCAGCTTTCCGGCGGGCCTGGAGTTTATCTTGGGGTTTGTTGTCCTTGACATTCTTTTTTGCTTTCTTGTTCTTGGAATTGGGATCGCGGACCGGGAGAGCCTTTGCGATCATAGTAGGTGGGAGATCGTAGATACTAGTAGGGTTGTATTAGTGGCGGCACAGCATAGTTCAAAGCACGAGGAATTAGACTTACTCCGCGTCATTTTGCTTCCGCTTGTGCTTGTGAGGCATTTTGAATGTGGTGGTTCTGCAGCTGTTCGTGATGAGAATCTGCGGAGGTGGACTTGAATGGGAACTTTAATTTTTTTTTTCTTTTTCGGGCGGCATATCTAATCGCGGCTGATAAGATATTGCCCACCTTCTGTACTGTACTAACCGTGCCAGTTCGAAGGATCATCGAGACGTTTTTCTTTATTCCTTTACTTTTATTTCCTATGAATAGTCTTGAAAATATCGAGGCTAGGGGCCTTATTTGACGAGTTGATGGCCTGGTCTACTCGTTCATAAATTGCTGAACTATGATTCAGACCTATTGTATATATTCTCCATAGTTTGACCTTTTCATAGCTAAAATATATACTTCTGTCTAGTCAGAATTTCGCACGTCGACCATACCTATAAATCAAACAAAGAAGAGCAAAAAAGGAAAAGGAAAAGGAAAATGAAAGAAGAAAAAGATATACAGTGAGGACCTCTGCCATACTGTGAAACACCCTCCTATTCATCTATTCAGTTAGAAATGCGTGATACCACACCGTCAGGACTCATCCAATAGCCTCATCCGGTTCAGGACCAGGAGTATAAGACATAAAATGAACAAATCAGTAAGCATAAGTATTGGAACGTAGGTTACTGTATATTTCTTCCTATGCCAATGAGTTACTAGACCCCCGAAACAGGACGCCGGGTGTCATCGGTGGATTCGTCCTACCAGAGAGCGTAGAGGTAGAACGCACTCAATACCGTTGAAAGGTGTGATCGCCGCATTCCGAAGCCATCGTTCCGCGGAAAACAGTGGCGACCGGTAGTGGGGTGATTGTAGGTGGTGGTGGTGGTGGTGGTGGTGGTGGTGGCGATACTGGGGTGCATAGTACGTACTTTTCCTAGGCAACTCTTGTGAGGGTACTACAATCATGCGCTGAAAACGAGGTTCTTCCTTGTTGGCCAGTTCATTTCCCGCCAGGTTCCTTGAGCGTAACCTATGCGGCTTGAAGGTGGATGTACTAGTATTGTTACGAGGGTTGCTATCGTCCACTAGTACGAAGTAGTTCGTATACATATAAGCTCCGCCCCTAGGAAGCTCTTCAAGATTCATGGTTGCTCGCTTAGAACAAGCGGAAGCTTAAGTATAAAGGAGGAGGGGAAGGGGAAAAAAAGTCAAAGATATGCAATTGTTGATTTCTGCCGATCGATCGCATCACGCGTTGTTATGATAGGTCACCTGTGTACTGTATACATGGCTTTACGCGTAACCCATGGTATGGGAGTAGTTCTGAAAACAGAATGAATGTCTGGGATCATGGATGTCGAGTGATACTGCGCAATACCGAACGACGTCATGCATTCGGTTGTAAATATGTTCCGAGCAGAAACTGATCGGTGGTGGCTGCTGACCGGTGCTAGAAATGCATCTGAAGAAGTGAGCCAATTATTTACTCCGCGTGATTAAATTTAGATACACCCATACGGACTGTACATTTGTACTGCGTAAGCTTCCCGGTTAACCACTAGTATCACTACGTACTGATGTGCTTAGTAGTAGTTTTGGTCCCGAGTATCCCAGTACCTACAGTACAGTCCAGGCTGCCATTCTATTCTCGAATATTATGAACTAGCGAGTGTTCTATTAAGGAGGCTGTGCTCAACCATGGGTTCAGGTTAAGTGCCAAAGGTTCTGTATCAAATCTACCATACGGACTGCAGGACTTCTCAGGTCCCTTTCAGTGTCTGGGCACTCCACCTCCCAATCAACAGCTGTAGATATCAGCGAATGAGAGCCTCTTATGCTACCAACGTTGACTCTTATCCCGGGGTGACAGTAGAAAGATCTGCCAATGTTTCTGTCCTGACCCACGAACGATATCCAACATCGCACATGTCTTAATTGGGTCGTGGAGAATAAAGAAGGCTAGAACTTTATCGTTTCAAAAAGATTTCACACAAAGCGTTCACCGTGAACTACGCTCGAGGGTACTCGTCATAAATCAAGCACCTCTTCCTAGCATGGAAGGCTTCCTGAAGGAGGAGAGTACCTAGACTTGGCAATCTTTACAGCCATCGGTAAGGCCCTATGGCCAAGAATGTTGTCCCCTTTCCACTCCCCACTTATTACCAGCACCCGCATTTCTACGCCTCAGGCACATAACGACCGTTATCGCGATAGTGAAGATGCAGAGCCTCAGGCGGGTTTAGAAGAATTCAAATTGTCTGTGAGAGAGCCTGTCAGCGGTGACGCGAATGAGCAGGGCTTCTTGACTGGACCTACCCGGCTGGAGACTTTACCTGCTTGGAGACGTGGACTGGCCACGAACTCTCCCTTCACTACACCTGGGAGCAACGAGTCTGATAATGTACTACCATTGCTCGCCAACTCGAGTCGTACCCCGAACTACTCTCGGAAACGGTGCAGGAAGCCTAAGCTGACCCGCTGCGTGTTATTCCCTCTCCTGGGATTCTTCGTCATGCTGTAAGTTTCCCAAGTCGCGAGGCGTCGACTACTGAGGTTACTTATCACACCCATAGAGGAATCATCCAGTTCATTATTATTGCCTGTGGCATTGTCATAACCTTCTTCTCGGATGACGTCGACCGCTTCTCAGTTCTCCGTTGGCAACACGAGGAAAGATTGGGCGCGAACGTCTCTCATTGGCCCACAGATTTTACTAGAGATATTATCCCAGTTGGATGCCATTCACACAATGACTATTGGCGGCCAGTGCCCCTGTTCTCTGCTATACAGGCGGGCTGCATTGGTGTGGAAGCCGACGTATGGCTTTTCGACGACGAATTATACGTGGGCCATACCACTTCGTCGCTGACACAGCAGCGCACACTGAGGAACTTATACCTGAATCCCTTGATAAGGATACTAGAGAAACAAAACCCAACTACCAAGCTCCACCCTACTGTAGATCAGTCGTTGCAGGGAGTTTTCGACACTGACCCATCCCAAAGCCTTATCCTCCTCATTGATTTCAAAACTGACGGAGACGCGACATGGACTACGGTCGTCGAGCAGTTGTCACCCCTCCGTACACGTGGCTATCTTACCCACTTTAACGGTACTGATGTGGTCAAAGGCCCCATCACGGTTGTGGGAACGGGCAATACTCCCTTCAACATGGTAGCCGCGAACACCACGTATCGAGACATCTTCTTCGATGCTCCTCTGGAGAGATTGACCGAGGACTATGACATGGATAAAGCTGGGAGTCAAGACGTGGAAGATTACATCCCAGAGGATGAAGGGGTGATCACGGACCGGTCCAACCAGAATGTCGGTCAGGGCCTCTCGGGCTTATCCGGTGACGAGCTTGGCCCCGGCACGTTCAACTGGACCAACAGTTACTATGCATCTGTTTCTTTTAGGCAGTCGATCGGGTTTCCCTGGTTGTTCCACCTCAGTGATCGACAAATGGACAAGCTAAAAGCGCAGATCCGGGGTGCCCACCAGCGCGGACTCAAAGTTCGGTACTGGGAGTTGCCTAGCTGGCCTCGGAGCTTGAGGAATCATATCTGGACCGTTCTGGTTCGCGAAGGGGTTGATATCCTCAACGTTGACGATCTACAGAGTGCCACTAAGCAGGACTGGAGACCCAGGTTCTCTGATTGGTGGCACTAACCTGTGCCCTGCCTGCACTCTGCATATTTATAAATTAGGTGTGGCTGTACAGTCAAGCAAGCCAACATGCGGCGTGCACCATGCTAGGCAGTAATTTTACGACCTTTTCGACGGTGTTGAGGTTCCTTTTGAGTACATACCCTACGAGTTGTTTTATCGTTTCCTTAGAATTTCGTGAGCTCGGGCTACTTTTACCACTTCCTACTTTAGACCAATGCAAAATGATATGATGCGAGACGATTCATGGTTTGGTATTCGGTGCATCAAATGTGATATGTAGAAAGATAAGATCGTACAGGATCCAGTTTTGGGTATCATCTGATAGACTTCCACAGTCCTCTTGTTTTTAGTTTGTGGCGGTCAGCCTGCATGCATGCATGCAAAGGGTTGGGACTATTGCCCATAATCCGAAATAGAAAGTAAACTAAAAAAAAATGCACAACCGAATCACAAACAGCACAAAGCTTCTTCCCCAAATTCGTTGAGAACGGTTCCCTCCTCACGAAGAATATTGCCCAGCCAATCCTTGGCTGTTTCGAAATTATCGGCCCCGAACTTCACCAGGACAAAACCTGCTCGTACACGAGCAGCGGTGAAGGTGACCTTCGAGTCGTAATTTGGAGGTGCTTCTATAGCTGCAGGAGCGGACGATGACCAATTCCGAGCTCCGATCCGTGGCTGTGACGTAAACCGGTCCATGATGAAATTTGCAAGGCGCTCAAACACAGGCCCGTAGAGAATTAACGTGCCCACGATACCGTGAGGTCGTGTCCGCTCCCGGATAACACCGGTGCGGTTCAGCGTCTCATGCTCGTCTTCTAACGATCCTTCGTCGAGCTCTTCGTCAAGGATGAGCGAATCACGGAGCAGAAGCTTCTTCTTGCCTAGTTCATCGACGCTGTAGACTTCGTTCTTGCCTTTCCAAAGGTGGAAGTCCCAGTTCTCGCCTCGGGATTTGCGTCCCTCGGTCACCCAGTCTAGCATGCAGAGGCTGCTCCGTTGGGAGTCCTTTGTTGTGCTGTCGACTGTGAATGTTTGGACTTGTTCGTACCGGCTGTCCTTGTATGGTACGGCTGGGTCAGGGAGGTAGCACATTGCGGCTCCCTTTTCGATCCGTACGTCTAGTGTTTGCCGGCTCTTGTCTGATAATACTCGCCCCGGGGCGCGGCGGCCCTTGACGCTTCTGCTGGGCTCTGTTTTGTAGATCTTTGTGGTTCCTTGTGGTGTTGTTACGACCATTCTTGTGAATTGTTCGAGTTTGATGGAGACCTCGATGTGGTCACCTGGTAGGAGGCCGCCGCCATAGGTGAGGAGGTAGAGGTGGACTGGACGGGAGGCGGGACATGATAGAGCGGAGGATTGAGGTACGTAGCCGGGTGTTCTTGTGAGGAGTTTGAGGGGGTATTTGTAGGTGAGAGTTGTCAAGGTAGGATTCGAAGGAGGTAGCAGTGAGAGGACAACATTGCCTTGTCCATGTTTGGCAATGGAAGACTCAAACGGTGATTTTATAGGCATGATTCTGGATGTGATCTGCATAGAGAACGGTGTCTGAGAAAAGAGAGAAACAGGACTAAGATGGGAATGAAAGAGGAAAGTGGAAAGAATGAAAATCGAAGGTGTGGATATTCACGGTATGATATACTCTGCCATTCTTGGGATCAATTGAAATATCTGTAAAATGGCGTCATGGAGAAAGGGATTTTTTTTTGGGATAAATCTGATTTTCCGGGGCAGCCAAACAACACCGAGATGCCCGGCCAGGTGATCCTGCAGACCCCCTTGAATGATTAGCTGGAAGCGGGGTGTAATGCCCTTGTGTATCAACCATTGAATTTGCAGTCTTGGCTCTGCCAATGCTGAGTTGAAGATGAGCATTCATGCCACGACGATGGAGACCGAGGAGGTTTCTATTACGGCATGGATACTGAGATTCTCCGCAGATTCTGAGGGCTTAGGGTTCGCCCCCGGGCGAGGCTTTCTTGGCGATGCCAATCATTACGCACTAGGAAGATCATACCGTTTCATTACCGTTTTGATCAATGTTTTCACTGTTTGATGACTGAGGCCACCATCACGCAACAGACAGGGGACAAAAGCTGGCGCCTGAGGCATCAGCTCACTTTCGGAGCCCGTCATCGCCAGGCACCAAAGCGCGTCTGTTTCGTCCGCCAGAACAGCTCACCGTGTTCCCACTCCCCTCACTTCGACTTTCTGGAGTCCCACTCTCGACGCAGCGGAACGGTATCCTCAATGCACCTTTTTTCCCATTGAGGCTCAACACGCTTTCGCTACCACTTGTTTTTTTGTTGCCTGTCCAATCGCGTACACTTGCAACACGCGCGCGCAAAGCCGCAGGTGCCGTGCGAGGAAAACTAACAATAATCGCGTTCAGCATCCCCCGAATTCCATCATCATCTGAACCCCACGTCCAAGTACGCCTCACTTCTGTCTGATAGACTATGTGTCAGTGGGAATTCAGTCGCAATGTGAACTAATGCATCTACGATGGCTATCTAGTGTTCTAAATACTTCCGACGACAATGGAGACTGAACCGCCGCTTTCAAGCCCTCAGCCCGGGCCCACTCAAGAAGCTTCATCACCGTCAACAAACAGGAGAAAGTCTGGTCGGGTGACGCGGAAGCCTGAATTGTACGCCGAGCGTTATGCCGCCGATGATAGTGCGATCGCAGGGGGCGCCAAGCGCAAGCGTGCCGGCGGCGATGACGAGGAAGATGTAGAGGAGGCTGCAGACGCGTCCGAGCCCGATGTTGACGAGTCCGCCGATGAAGAACCCGATGAAGAAGAACTCCGAGAGAAGAGACGCGCTGCACGTAAAGCGTCATCGAAGAAAGCGACGTCCGAGCCGAAGGCTAAAGCAAAGCCTCGCAGTGCGAAGAAACCGAAAGTAGCTGGTAATGGAATTGGGAGCCAGCTGGCCTTCCGACCTGCTACAAATGGAAAGAAAACCGTTTCCTCCCGCCCCAGGAAACCGATGGTGCGACCCAGCTTGGCTGCTGGTGAACGGGGCCTCTATGGTAAATTTACCGTTGTCTCCTGATCATTGTGGCGATGTGGCTAACGGGGATTATTACTGTGTAGCGGAGGTCTTTGGTAAAGGGCGCAATGCCGACACTACTGCTGCCGAATGGCTTTCGAGATACCAGAGAGAGCAGTCTCAGGCACTGCGTGATATGGTTAACTTTGTGCTTAGGTGCACGGGAACAGATCTCGAAGTAACCCAGGACCATATCAATGATGTCGACCATGCGCCGGACCGTGTAGAGGACTTGCAAAACGAATATCAACAAGAAGGAGTTGGCGAGTGGCCCCTGATCTCTAGATCGAAGAAGTTCAGGGCTTTCCAGCCGGTCTTGGAAGAATTCTTCAAGTCCTTAATCCAGACCTTTCATCACTCATCGGTTCTATACGACGATCAAAACCTCTTCGAGAATCTCGAAATTTGGCTATCTGCCATGTCAACGTCGCAATCTCGGCCTTTCAGACATACCTCAACTGTTATTTTACTGGCCGTCATGTGTGCTCTTTGCGGCGTCGCCCGGGAATTGATGACATCAGTTTCTACTTCTCGCAAACAACTCGAAACCGAGAAGAAGAAGAAGTCGGTGAACCAAGGAAGAGCATCCGCTATTGAGAAGGCTATTGAAGATGGCGAAAAGAAGCTGGAGATCATCGATGACTACCTTAAAGACGGCGTCAATGTCGTCTTCGTTCACCGATATCGGGATGTCGACCCTAACATTCGGGCAGAAAGTATGGCGGCACTGGGACAATGGATACGTAGCTACAGAGAGTATTTCTTTGAGGGACAGTTCCTTCGGTACTTGGGCTGGATGTTGTCTGACACCGTCGCCCAGACACGCCTTGTCGTCGTAAACCAACTTCGCAGCTTGTATGAGAATAAAGATAACATTGCAGGCATGCGGTCATTTACCGCGCGCTTCCGTCAACGAATGGTGGAAATGGCTGCCCGTGATGCAGACATTGCGGTACGGGCCTCTTCGATTGAATTAGTGGATTTGATTCGGGAGGCTGGATTAATTGAACCCAGCGACATTGACACAGTGGGAAGACTTGTCTTCGACTCGGAACCACGGATTCGAAAAGCAGCTGGCCGTTTCTTTGTTGCCAACGTTCAAGATGTGTTCGATTCCACGATCGAAGAAGTTCGAGACGAGATCAATGAGATGTTCGGTGAAGAGGATGAAGATGACTACGAATCGCCTAAAGGTTCGTGGATCAAGTTCAAATGTCTTGTCGACACTCTTCAATCTTACGACGAGCTTGAAAATGAATATAAACCCGACCAGCCCTCTTCTGCCTCGAAGGATGCGCTCTCCGGCACTCCTCTCAATACGCGATTTGTTCTTGTTACTGAGGCCATTTATCCTTACCTCAAAGAGTTATCTCAATGGCAATCTTTGGCTGGATATCTGCTTTACGATCATTCCCAGATTGCGGACAGTTCGTCGGAGGATGACACTTCAGGTTCCATCAAAAAGCTTTACAAGATGCAGGAAGGGCAGGAGGTCATCCTCTTAGAAGTACTATGCAGTGCTGTTAAGTTGCGTGTTCTTGAAGTCGCAAAGTCTGATATTGATAAAAGAGGCCGGAAGGTCAAGACATTGACTGATAAGATTCCTGAACTTCAAGAAGAGATTGCGCATAACCTTGCGCAGATCATCCCTCAACTCTTGAACAAATTCGGCTCTGTGCCAGAGGCTGCTTCTGCCGTTTTACGCCTTGAACATCTCGTTGATCTCGATAAGATACAAGACTTGCAGAAAGATGCTACCGCCTATACATCATTACTGAACGATATCAACAAGCAATTCTTAACGCACTCCGATCAGGATGTACTCACGGAGGCTAGTGTCGCTTTTCTCCATGCAAAGAGCTCAGACGATATGCGCGAAGCGTTGGATAATAAGGTCTCGGAATTGTGGGAGGGCATGATCGATACACTCAGCACATTAGCCCGGAAGAAGGAAGTTCTGGAGGGCAGATCAATACCTGACTCTACTCTCAATCAACTTACGAATACCATGGCGAGAATTTCCAACCTTGCCAGTGTAACCGACTGCACGCAGATTTTGGAAGCAACACCTTCATCTTCACGGTCAAAGGGCAAGAGCAAAGATACTGCCGAGACACCTTTCAATGTCCTTCTGCATCTGGTGGAACGTGGTCTGCGCGAGACTGAAGACGATGAAGAATCCGCCAAGGCCGAGACAGAACTTGTGAGCAGCAGCATACGGACGCTGTTGTTCTACTTCATGTGGAAAGTCCAGTCTTTGACAACTGCTCTAAGCACTGGAAAGGCTTCTTTTGATACCGAGTACTTCGAAGTCTTAACAAAGAGCCGGGAATTATTCGTTTCGACACTTGTCGCCATCATGAAGGCACGTTCTGGCTTGGATGATATACGCTTCTCGGCAACAGCAACACTCTTGGACCTACAGACCCTGTTCGGCACCCTCCGATATGCGGGACAAAAAGCCAGTAATGATGAAGACGTCATTCTCCAGACGCAGGGCCTGGTTCACGAGATCGCAGGCGAAGCTTCCAAACTCATCGCTAAAATCCACAGTGTCGCAGAGCGTACATATGCGAAGAGGCTACGTCTCTCCTACGAGCCCGCGGACGACGACGAGCCTATATCCGACTCAGAGGAGGAAAAGGACCTCGATGACGAAAACGACTCTGGTTCCGAAGCAGAAATGATAGCCACCGAGCGCCTGCGATCCAGAATCGTGGCCGAGCAGCGCCTGTGCGAACTCACAGGCAAGATTGTCCTAGCGATTGTAGGCCGCGTCATTGACGCCTCCGGCGAAGAGCGCGGGCAGCTCAAGCAAAGACTGGTCAAGCACAAACACGACCTAGGCCAGAACTACCGCGCAGTAGTTGCATTCCTCGAAGAGCGTAAACCCAAGAACCCCCGACCCAAGGGCAAACAACTACCTACTTCCACGGAGCCAAACCGAAATCAAAGCAGTTCAAGCAAGCGACAAGACAACGCCAAATCCGCCGAAAGAGTAGACGATGACGACGACGAGGACGAAGAGGAAGAGGAGGTGCATCTCGATATAGAAGAAGACGAGGACGAGGATCTACGAGCGCGAGGCCTGGTAGAAGACGAGAACATCGAACACGATAACGATGAAGAGGAAGATGAAAACCATGCTGCTGCTGATCCAGACGACGATGAAGTTATGGGTGATTGATTTGCCAATGGAGTAATATTATTCTGTCTATCTATGATTTCGGTAAAAGGGATGAGCTCGAGTTGCTTTTTATTTCATTCAACTTTTTTTTTTTTAACTTATTTTCGTACGAGGGCTTTTTCCTCTTTAAAGGTGTTGGTCCGTGGATCTTTATGTCACTCTACTATTCTAGTCATGACTGTCAGCTCTCCAGGTTTTATATGGCCGAAATTTTTTCTTCTAATTTCCTTCCCCTTGAGTATCTCCTTTCACCGTTGTTTATCCTTTCTTCTCTTTTCTTCATATTGCTGTCTTTTCTTTCTATCATGCGGAGACTGTGCTTGCCGGCGTCAACTGCGACGTAACTTATGCTTTGCTTTTGTATATACTTCAGGACCTTTGTTCTCCGTGTCTTAGCTTCGACGATTATTTGAAAGTGGGACATCGATTGTATGTCTGGCAGTGCCGCTACTGTGTTATGGGAGAAGATAGTAGCTACACTGTTTAGATGTTGTAGATGGCAAGTAAGAAGAGAAAGGGATGCTTCTTTTCTTGGCTGGCTATCGAACTATCCGTCGCCACGGGACCTAATCGACCTTTGAAGTATATTTGTCTATCGATATATAAGCCCGTGGATCTCCAGTATTCAAAAAAAACGCCCGAATCTGCGGTTTATGATAACCACCGTCTGGATAACAATTTGACCAATTTACTGCCGCAGGAAGCGACGGACAGCACTTAGGCCAAGGAGACCACATCCCAGGAAAACCGTCGAAGAACACACAGGAAATAGAAAGAGAGAAAAAAAAAAAAACCGAATGAACAAACGATTACGCCGGTGTATGGGATGCTACGATAAATAGGGAAGTGTAAAAGGGGTACATGATGGTGCATCTGGTTTATCGTGAACGGTCAAAGGGGAAGTAAATCATAGCAGGGATGGGAGGAAAGAAAACGTCGACTCGTGCTTGAACGTCGAAAGGGGGGAGACGAAATGGATACAGGAATGGACTTAAAGTGTTATTTTGAAGGCAGAAAACGCAACCCAAATCTCGCCTTGAACGCTACAAGACTTGATCGCCCTGCGACGTTAAGGTGGTGCTTTTGTTCGTTATACGGCGGCCGCCGCCACGAAGGATCTAGCAGGAAGTAGAATCGAATCAGATAGCCCGAGTCTCAATTGTGTCATGATTAATTTCAAATAAAATCCCGCTTTTACATGTCCATGGAGTCGCCACCGTTGGCGAAGTTGAAACCACCTGGCTGTTGTTGGGCAGTGCCAAGGGTGAATCCTGTTTGGGTTTGTTGAGGAGCAAGCTCATCGATATCACCGCCGGCCTCTTCTTCATCAGAGAAGTACTTCTCGATGATGTTGTAGGCCTTCATGTAGATCTCCTCGTTGGCGTTGTTCTGGCAGTCATGGATCTTCTCCATACCACCGGCCTCTTCAATGAATAGAGCATAGCGGTTGACGCGGGCCTCGCCAGTCTGTGCAGCCTCCTTGTCCATCTCACCAACCTTGAGGATGTTCTCAAGGCCATCCAAAGCAACCTGGATGATCTTGTTGTCGGGGCAAGCAAGCAGGTCGCAGAGCGGCTTGATGCATCCCTGAGAAACGAGGTAGCGAATCTGCTCAGGCTTCTGCAGACCACCAGAGGTGGCGTTGGAGATCGCCCAGCAAGCTTCCTTGCGGGTCTTGAAGTCGCCGTTGGCGAGCAAGTTGATCAGCGGGGGAATGATGCCAGCATCGACGACAGCCTGGATCTGGCTAGAGTTGCCAGCAGTGACGTTGGAAATAGTCCAGCAAGCCTCCTTACGGATACCATCCTTGGTAGAGCTGAGGAGAGAGAGGAGGGCGGGGAGAGCACCGCAGTTGATGATAACCTGGGTCTGTACGTCATCACCGGTCACAATGTTTCCAACAGACCGAAGAGCAGGAGTCTGAACGGAGGTCGAGGCGTGCATAAGAAGCTCAACAAGGCGACGAGGGATGCCTGCCTCGATAACAGCCTGGATTTTATCGTTCGCACCATCGGAGAGGTAGGAAATAGCCCAGCAAGCATCAATGAGGACTTCATCATCAAGCATGTAAATAAGCTTGGCGAGGACAGGAAGAGCAGGAGCGATCTAAAATGGTATTAGCCAAGTTCGCTTCTTCGTAGTGTCTGTAAGGCAACATACCGTGTTCCAATCGGGCTGGGGGGTCTTGCCACGGCAGAAGTTACTCAAAGTCCATGTAGCGTTGCGCAACATGCTCAACTTCCGGCCATCGTTGATCAAGTTCAAGAGAGGACGGAGGGCGCCAGCGTTGAGGACGAAGTCACGGCATTGAGGGCTATCACCAGCGATGTTACCCAGAGCCCAAACAGCCTGCTCCCGAACATCAGGTTCCGGGCTGCTCAACAGCTCGACGAAAATGGGCACAGCACCGGCTTCGATAACCACCTGGGTTTGCTGAGCAGATCCAGATGCAATGTTGGTCAAGGCCCAGGCGGCCTCGAATTGAACTAGAGTATGAGGAGAACGAAGGAACTCCACGAAACGGCTCACGACACCAGTCTCAATAACACGCTCGATGGGAGGGTTGCGCTCCTTGGAAAGCAGTTTCCTGAACTTAGTTGTGGCTTGAATCTGCGACTCGATCTGATCTGAGAAGACACCCTTAACCATCTCCGGTAGTTCCACATTGAGCTTAAAAATGTTTCATTAGCCATTTGATTTCTAGAAGCACGAAGACCAACAGGATTGATGAGTGAAAGGTGGTCGTGTGCTCCATCCTGAAGCTCAAGACCAGTCATAGGGCGGTGAAAACCTCGTCGCTAAGGCGCATAAGGGAAATAAAAAACAAAAAAACAAAAAAACAAGACAAGCGCTTGGGCGAATACAAATTGATATGTATTTAGAGTAATGCGAATAGAAACGAATAATAGAACCTCAGATAGAGCATACCTCGCTTTCTATGGCAGTGGCTTCATCATCACTCTCGGCGGCAGCGGCCATGCCTTCTCCCACACCAATCCCACCATCGCGGGTCTGGATACCTCTCCTCTTGGCCAAATTCTCTTCTCTTTTCTGCTTGCGAATTTCAACTTGCTGCTCCTCACGACGACGACGAAGCTCGTCAGGCCGGAACTGATTCCTAGCCTTGAACTGGGTGCGACGATGCTCTGGGATGTAGCGCTCGGCCATGGTTGCTTAGGACACTGAGGGGTGAAAACAAAGCGCACGAACCACTGAGGTTCTAGATGAGAGAAAAATTTAGAAAGAAGAAGAAAAATCAAAGGAAATTAATCAAATGATAGCAGCCCACAGGGTGATGAGCAAGTGTCAAATAAGATAGGAAGACTAGAAGCCTCACTGGGGGAAATATGCGGGCAAAAGACGGAGGAGGGGAAAAAAGTGTTGATGCTTGCTTTGGCCGGAGGTGGGATTGTTCAGTCACGGGATAGGCTTCTGATTTGCTGTTTTCGGCCACGCCCACTGGCAAGCGCCACACCCGCCTAAGCGAAGTTAGCGCCGAGCAACTGGTGAGACGCGTTGTGTCGCCGTCTACATCTTTTTGGGATTGGCCTCCTGGCTTTCATACGTTTGCATTATCGCATATCGTGCCTTCTTTATAGGGGATCTAAGTCCTTCCCCAGCTGCAGGCGCAATCAGATATAGCTACAGACCCGTTTTAAAGAACCATGAGCTTGTCACGCTCAACTATAACATAAGTTGTGACATGGCGAGCAATTCGTCGTCTTCTACCGTGATTGACATCCCCGCTGCTCTTCGATCACAGGGAAACGTAACTGTAATTGGGGTAGTTGTCGATGTTTTCCAAGGCGTGTTCAGGACGGCGAACTCGCTTTGTATAACCTTCACTTTGAAGTCTGATAATCTGAAGAATGGACATGTGTGGGATGGACTGAAAGTCAAGTATTTTAAAGATAACGAGTCTCATCTGCCTCCTGTGCAAGAGGGTGATGTAGTCCTGCTGCGGAACCTCTGGGTATGTTGCCCAATCTTTGATATCCAGGCCTACGCTGACAGATTAAACACAGATTAGAAATTACAACGGTAAGCCACTAGGGATTGCAGGGGACAGAGCGAACGTACCATGGGCTATCTTCCGCTTTGACCCGGACCCATTGTGTACTAGTGCACCTATTTCTGGTCCAACTCCCTTTGAGCCGTCCTATACGGAGAAGAGACGATGTCAGAGTCTACTAGAAAGTATTTCTGGGCTCTCAGAGTTTCGAAATGTTTCTGCTTCACAAGTGACAGCTCCCCAGTCCTTCACCTCCGAAGCTTCAAGCTCGAGGCAGGATTCCCGGACACAAAGGAAGCTTACCTCTATAAAGGATATCCGAGAGGGTACACTTGTGGACATGATCGGTGAAGTAGTCAAGTTGTACCCCCAGAACAGCGAGAAAGCACTCTTGTACTTGAGCGACTATACAACAAATAAGAAGCTGCAGGATCATACATCTATAGATGATGACCCTGGTGGCGATTCGTTCTATCGGAGCAGGAAGAAATGGACCGGTCCACAAGGCCAAATGTCTCTGCCCGTAACATTATGGGAGCCACATGCGAGCTTTGCCCGAGAAAATATCAAGGAGGACGATATTATCAGTTTGAAATATGTTCATATCAAGGCAAATCGTCACAACCTAACGCTCGAAGCTAGCATGCACAGCGCGCGTTTCAATAACGTGCACTTAGTGGATCCTGAAAAGAATGATCATGCCAAAGAGCTTCTACGTCGGAAGAAGGATTACTACAGAGGAATCAACACTGGAAAGCGGAAGGCTGAAGAAGATGCTAAGCCAACAGAGGGTCTAAAAGCCCGCAATAAGAAAAGACTGGGAGGCATGAGAGAAGAAAGCGAAGCAACTCGACAATTGAAAGAGCGCAACAGACCTAATGAACATGGTAAGGCTGCCGCACTAGGGTTGATTGATGTATAGACAACTGATTGAGCCACAATTGCAGTAAAAGCTAGTTATGAAGGCGTTCGTGGACGGAGGATCGAAGATATCGTTACAAGCGAATTCCATGAGTTTGAGTCCCATGACGGTGTCGAGTATCGTCTTCCATTTCAGAATCTATGTTACAAAACTACTGTTCGTGTTGTCGACTTCTTCCCTCCAGATATAAAAGATTTTGCAGTCCGTCAAGAGCCTAAGGAGAATCACTCAGGCAGCGGCATGTACCAACACGCAGAAGACGATGGTATCACTCAATGGGAATGGCGTTTTTGTCTTCTCATTGAGGACGCATTACCCCCTCCTCCTGGGCAGCCAAAAGAACAGATCAAACTTTTTGTGTCGGATGCCAACGCAGAATTTTTGTTGAAAATGAGTGCAACCGAGTAAGTCCTCTACCCTCCCCTCCCTCCTGCTTTCTTTCTTCTTATTCCTCCTCCTTCCCCCCTCCGACCTAGTGCCCTTTGCTGATTTTGTCTTCTCCAACCAGCTTGCGCACAGACTCAGAGCAGTTGGCGATTCTACGGGAGCGGCTTTTCATTCTTTGGGGTGATCTCGAGGAACGGAAGAAGAAGAATACTGAAGAAAATGGCCAAGGCCCTCCGAAGCTGGACCGCGCCTCCTCAAGACCATTCGTGTGTTGTATACAGGAGTACGGTGTCAAGTGTTCCCATCTCTCAGACGCAGATGCAATGTCTGACGATAAGTCTGGATGCAGTCGCGAGGATTGCTTCGGTTGGGAAAGGAGGTTCGGTATGTTTCAGACGACCATTGATTCATGAGTCGGCATTCGTGTATTTCTATACCCCTTTGCGCTGGTTTCAAATTGGATATTATCATGGCTCTTGCTATGATAAGTTTCACTGTAGAGCTACTTTAGTCTGATGAAGTTTTGCAAAAAAAAAAAAAAACTCAAATCTATCAGAAGATATACTATCTTCTCTCGTGTAACTGCGTAACGCAGTAAACCTCATTTACGAGTAAATACAACCCACTCGGCTCGAGCGGCGAAAAGGTGCGTGTAGCGTGTATACATATCAACCCCGAAAATCATCCTTTATAGAGCAGAAACAGGCTTAGATGCAGGGAGACTAATTAGAACAGAACGCCGATACCTAAGCAAAGAATCCTCGTAATAATAACGAGTATAAGAAGGAGAGTGTTAATGATGATCTCTGCTGGCGCTAAATAGTGGTGAGCCCGAATTGTGGTCTTTAAGTCCACAGCTCGATTTAGGTGTGGAGGTACTAAACTTTAGTCACTTTGACGATGTTGGTGTCGATTCCGTGCGCCGAAATGTCGAATCGACAGCTTGAACCCCAATAACAATCTTTCTTACCGGGTTCACTCTGAGGGCAGCGATGTCCATACATACATTCAGGATCATCACACTCCAGCCCATAACGACACGGAGTCATACGGGCGATGGCTGTCAAAATCATATATTCGGTCTTGGTCAATTTCCGCGAATGATCGTGATGGCAGTTTTCATTAGGGCATTCGCCTTGTAAATAGTAAAAATTGCACAATTTCAGTTTTTTAATGCGGTTTACCTCATCCCGAGGGATGGTCTTAAAGTCAAGTCGGTCTACACGCTGGCCGTACTTGTTTCGTTCCACGATTTTGGGGGGTGGCGGGACAGATGATTTCGATCGCACAACCTGAAACTCCCCGGAGTTAGGTGTATTCGTGGATGAGGTAGATATGGGCACGCTGTTACTGGTTGTCGTGGTATTGGTTGACGTTCGAGAGAGAGTTACATGCTGGACGGGCGACGGGGTGAGGAGAGCGCGAGGTTTGCTAGCCACCGCAGCTTTCCAAGGTGCCCATACAGATATCTTCGTATCTCGGAAAAGATCCGAGATCTTAGTGACTCTGTACGATGTTTTTATTAAGTCCAGGTCGCTTGCAAATGGGAGGCCCTCAATCAGAGAAACTCGGCCTATGAGGTCTCTATCGGCCAGTGTGTCTTCCAAAATTTGAGCATAAGCACTATCCTGCGAGCAACCCAGGAATATCTGGTGGCAATGGCAGTTGTATAAATTTAGTCTGAAAGCCTCTAGAAAGGCGGGGAGAACAACGATCAGTATCTGTCAACCAAACAGACAATAGAATCTCATTTGGCATACCTCCAATTTTATCATGAGCGCTCTCTTTCCCAGGACCGATATCGACCAAATCAAAGAGAGGATAACTAGCATTGAAACCCCGGACAAAATCTTCGATCAAGGAAGGCTCGGTCGTGACGCCGCCACGGACGCAAAGGTCGCTTAATCCCTTCACATTGATATACATCTTTGTGATTACCTTCGGAGAGTTGATGGTCGGGAAATTGCCGGAGACGTAGTCCTGTAAGGCCGAATGGAGCTTCTTCGCCGCATTCTGTCCACCTTGTTCTCCTTGTTGCAGATATTCGTCCTTAAAGATGATTCCACCACCATCGAGAAGCACGACTATGAAGGGTTCCCGGTCCTACCGTGCAAGCGCCGACATCGTTAGCATAGTGATAGATAGAGCGCTCCATCGTTATCAGCTCTCACCATAATAGTTTTAATTCTTGATATCTGATCCATTAACTCCATTTCATGGAGCTGAATGTCCCGATTAAAGCGCGTCTCGCGCTCATGGTCCAGCCGCTCTTGTTGATATGCATCCTCAAGCTCCGTCACACGTTGCAGCAGTTCCTAGTGGCCGAGGAAGAAGGTTAAAGATTAGGTAGAGAATCAGGATAAGCGCCATGATTGGAGAGGCTACCTCAATCAGATTATTTTTTATGTCTTCTATTGAAGTCAACTGTTTATATCGTTCGAGATAAGCTTGGGCAGTCATGATGGGTTTTGTTGGTTATAGCTAGGTATGGGTGTACTGTGTGGAGATGGGAAAGTCAAAGTAAGTTAATTGCGGAGACGGGGTTTAGAAGAGGAGAATGGGAACGTCGATGAGGCTGGAGGAAAAGGGAAGAGAGAATATATGTTTTCTATATGTATAAGAATAGAGGAGGGGTAAGCAAAGTGAATCGTTACGCGCGACACTTCCTTCACAACCCGATTTACATTCACCACCAAGTCTTATACAGTCCAGTTGGAAGTCCAGTAACATAAGTTTCGGGGGATTTATTTTTTTGTTGCTAACCTCAGGAACTGAGGCAGCGCCAAAAGGACCACCAGTCAGAATGCAGCGGGTAGGCTGAGTCAGCTGGTCTAACCGCCGGTTTCTTATGGGGAAGTCGTGACCTGCCTGACTAAGGAAAAGACAAACTAAACGCCTACGTGGAGGAAACCACTTCAGCCCTTGTTCACGATCTACTAGTACTTCCATTCCCACTCTTCATTTCCCTTCCTTCCCCCTCCCTTCCCTTTCTTTTTTTGTCTTCATTTCTTTTCGGAACGTTTCTTTTTCTCTTTCCCCTCTTCTTCTCCACATTGGACTCTTGGACCGATCAGAATGGCTCGTTTCAGCTTCCTGTCGTTGGCTTTGCTCTCTGCCCAAGCCTTGATCGGCGGCAGTTTCGCGGCGGTATGTTGCCATTGTTCCAATACCATCGCCTACTGATATCAATTGCGTCGCTAACACATCAATTGTCATGTATAGGATGCTGAAAAGGCAGAAGAGAGTGTAGAGACTCCCAAGCTCGCTCTGACGGCGCAGACTACTTTCCCTGCTTCCGAGATCTTCGGTGTCAAGATTGTCAACGGTTACCCAACCCAGGCGCTTGTCGCTTTCACCAATGATGAGCCTGCCCCCGTGAAGGTGAACTTCATCGGTGGCACCTTGTCCACCCTGGATGAGGACAGCACGATCGTGCGCAACTTGACTGCAACTGGATACAGTGTGGAGATTCCCGCTGGCGAGACGGAGACCCTGAGCTATCAGATTACCACCGAAATGCATCCCCAGGATCTTAGACTTAGCCTTGCTTCTATCATCTCCGATAGCGAGGGCAGATTCTACACCGTCTACGCCTACAACGGCACCGTCAGTGTTGTGGAGCCCGAAACTAGCTTCTTCGATCCCCAGATGTAAGATGGACTGCTTGTCGCGTTCGCAAACAATCGCTGACTATCAATATTAGTCTTTTCCTGTATTTCTTCCTCCTGGCCTGCTCCTCCGGTGTTGTCTACTTCTTCTACACTGTCTGGGTCGCTCCGTACTTCCCCCAGAAGCGCAAGAGTGGAAAGGGTGCTGAGCACTCCAAGAAGACTTCTGGTGCTGCGAAGAAGGCCGAGACCGTCGAACCCAGCAGCCCGGCAGTCTCGTCAGCCACCACCTACAATGCTGATTGGATTCCCGCTCACCACATTAACCGCCCTGAGGCCCGGAAGGTGAAGGGTAGCACCCGATCCAAGAGCCGTGCTTAAAGGAGTCAACGGCAGCGCTGTTGTGGAATATAGAGGGAAGAGTGGGGCCTCATCTTATTTCTTGGACCTTGTATGGTTATTACACCGATTCTTGTGGGAGTTTACCAAGCTTGGGACCAAAGATCGCTGAGAATGTGATCGATCGCAAGCCACTGCCATCGCTGATTGGGGCATGTATATTTACGACAATTGAAATTAGTAATTGTAGCTTCTAGAAGCTCAGTCCTTTACACAACTGTGTCAAATGGAAACAGTCGATCCGTGCCTGCTTCTACTTTGGTTTCTCGATGATTCGTACAACTCATGATATCATGGTTATTTCGCCCTTTGTGCCTTCCTCCGCTTACAGGCGCTTCCACTCGTCGAACTCCTTCTCTAAATGTATCTTCAACTCGGAAAATTTGTTCCCAAATTCCCTCCCACAACGCCAGCATGTGTAATCTCGTCGCAAATAGCCCTCTTTACCAGGATGTCGCCTAACATCGTCTTGCGCCAGGGGGAAATCATCGATAGGGACGAAGAACGGCGTAGAAAAACTATTGTAATGTTTCTTGTGTTTCAGTCGGTCGCTGTACCTGTCCACCGAGATAACATGGATATGTAGATGATTCATAGACGGATGCGCATGGATTCCGCACATGATCTCTTGTTCCCAGTTTCGTCCCCGCGGCAGTTCATCCAGAGGAGGATCTGCACTAAGCGCCTCTTGCCTCTCTTTATCTTGAGCGGAGCCTTTCCCATATCTTCGTCTGAGCTCAGCCGCGGCTAAAGATCGAAGTTTTTTTGTCTCTTCTTTCACTTTTTTCAGAAACTCGGGATCTTCGAACGCTTCGAAAGGATGGAGACGGGTTTTGGAAGCATCCCGCGGAAGTAGAAGTAGATGGAGAGTTGATTTTGGGAAAAGGTCGTGAATCGCGACGAAGTCCTCATTGTAATATACAACGACACTGGAAGGGAAAGATTCCGGTTTTGCGATATAGGCGCCCAAGCCGTCGCGCGGGCCACCGATGGCTCTCTTGTTTGATGAATCTTTGGAAGGGCCGTCTTTTGCGTACTTTGCGTGCTTGAGTTTAGGGGCGAGGAGCTCGGCGACTACATATATTAGCCTTTTTCTTAGAATATACAAGTATTGCAAGCATGATCAGTTGCATACATACAGGCATCCCTTTTCCCCGATTTTGATTCTGCCGCGCCTTGGTCTTCTGGGCTTGGTGAATCGTCTGCCATAGTGGGTGTATATATTGCGATTATGGTGTAGGGCCTATTTGGCCGTCAGATGTGGTTAAGTTGTCATGGTTGTGCTCGGAGTAGCAAGTGACTGCGGAGGAGCGAAGCTGAACCAGAAGGCGATCCGCGGCGACTTCCCCGCAGCCCTACGGCTCAAAAAAAGGCGGCCCTAGTGCGGAACAGCCAAACTTCCGCTTTAACAGCAATTCAATCCACTCTCTTCTTTATCGAAAGGTGTGATTGCTCCACGGGCGTCTTCTTTAAGATAGCAAATTACCGTGGTAGAATGGGCCCTAAGAAGAAAGCCGACGCCCGTGGAGGAGGTCCCAAACCGGGCACCAAGCAAGCCAAAGCCGCCGCAGAGAAAACGGCGGCTGAAGCTGCAAAGAAAGCGCAGCCTCCACCAGATGAGCAGAAGAAACCCTCTGTTAAGCAGGTTATCGGTGGCGCATCATGGACCGGTAAACTACCGGTCAATATGATCGCAGAGCATTGTCAGAAGCAGAAGTGGGAGAAGCCCGAGTATACAATGGTGAGCAATGGACGGATAGGATGTTCTTAGCATAACATGCGGCCACACGGCACAAGTTTAGTTCAACTTTGGGCTAATAGTTTCTACCACATACTAGACAAAAACACCAGAAGGTTATATGTCAGCGGTTATATTGAAACGTGTCGACCCCAAGACTCGCGAAGCAACTACCCTTCCTCCTATGAAGCCTCCTCCATCACACAAGCATTTGGCTGCGCAACCTACGGCACTGGAAGCTCGTCACTTTGCTGCTGCGTTCGCTCTGTACCGGGTCTGCAACATGAGGAATATTCATATGATGCTTCCGCCGACCTATAAGAAGCTCTGGAAAGAGGATTTTGCTGATATCAAGACTGCCGATACCAAAGAAGGCAAAGGGTGGATGTACGAAGCAGACCCATTTTTGGCTAAACAGGAGCGCGAAAGTGCCGCGGCCGATTTGGAGAAAAAACGGAAAGAGCGAGAAAAAAATCAGGCTAAGGCGAAGGATCAAGCGGCGGTTGAATTGGGCCTGGGGTCCAGCGGTGATAATAGAGGGAAAAGGATCTGGTCGAACGCCCCGAAAGTGGATCTGGGGAGTAAAGTGCGCAGAGAAATTGAGAACCTCTTGCAACAACATGCGATTTGGAATCCTTATAACGTGAAAATTCCGGAATCCGAGCGTAACTCCATAATCGAGGAGTTCACTCGCTTGGGCTTCCGGCGCAGCCATGTAGATGAGGCGAGTTCTGCATGCAAAGACAGAGAAGAGGTGCTTGAGTGGCTTCTGATCTATGTTCCAGAGGATGATCTTCCATCTTGGTGTCTACCTGAGTCATACTCTGCTGGCGTGAGTCTAGCGAGTGATGATCTTGCAAGAGAGGCGAAGATCAAGCGGCTGGCCACCATTGGCTATTCTGCGGACCTTTGCTCGCGGGCCCTGGACAGCAAGCAAGGTGATGAGCTTGCAACTGCTGAAATGTTACAAAACACATTAGTGCATGGAACGACTTCTTTTGCAGGCTCTATATCTGATGAAGGTGATGATTCCTGGGCCGAAGAACAGGAGACTCTCGAAGCTATCTTCGGGGAGCGTTATAGTAAGGTATCGCCTAAGGTGTGTGCGATCAAGAGCGAGTCCTCAGACTTGCCAGAGTCAACTACATTCCGCTTCCAAAGGCCCTCAAATCATTATCCATCCTCAGTGCCGATTATTTCGATACAAGCGAAAGGAATCCCTTCTTATATACGACTTAGCGCGATCCGTCAAGCAGTGAAACATGCAGAGGAAAGCTTTTTGGGAGAGCCAATGGTATACAACTTGCTTGACTGGCTAGAGATGCATCTTCCGGAGGTCATGCAAAATCCGGGCAAGTTGCGAGATATTGCAACGGTCGCCGCAACATCATCTACCACTGGAGGTAACTTAGAACTCCCTGTGTGCCAATCTCGCAAGAAGAATAAGGAGATTAGCTGGCAACCGGGCTCGCCTCAGAGTATATCTGTTCGAGAGGCCTGGCAGGCTAGACAGTCTACGCCGGCCCAACAGGACATGACTCGAAAGCGAGAATCACTTCCCGCTTGGAACATTCAAGATGCTATCGTACGTGCAGTGAATTCACACCAGGTTACTATCATCTCTGGTGAGACAGGTAGCGGTAAAAGTACCCAGTCCGTTCAGTTCATATTGGATGATATGATCAGGCGAGACCTTGGTGGCATTGCGAACATTATCTGTACGCAGCCACGTAGGATCTCTGCTTTAGGTCTTGCGGATCGTGTGAGCGATGAGCGATGCACCTCTGTAGGAGAGGAGGTTGGATATATCATTCGAGGTGACTCCAAGGTCAAATCTGGGGCGACGAAGATCACTTTTGTCACAACTGGTGTTTTGCTTCGTCGTATACAGTCTGGAAGCGGTGCGGATGGGAATGTTGCAGGATCCCTCGCAGATGTCACACATATCGTAGTGGATGAAGTTCATGAACGGAGTCTTGATACCGATTTTCTACTCGCCCTCCTACGGGATGTTCTTCGGTACCGCAAAGATATTAAGGTCATACTGATGAGTGCAACGCTTGACGCGGAAATCTTCACCAACTACTTTGGTGGCCGCCAAAATGTTGGACTGGTGAATATTCCTGGGCGGACTTTTCCTGTGTCTGACTTTTACCTGGACGACATCATCCGTGACACGGGATTTTCACCTGAGTTGGCTGAGCGGGACTTTGAGGAAGACTCTTCTCAGGGCGAAGAGTCACTTGGCAAGATTCTTCGGAACATGGGCATGGGAATCAATTACGAGTTGATCACGTCCACAGTCCGCTACATTGACGCCCAGCTTGGAGATCGACCGGGAGGGATTCTCATCTTCTTGCCCGGTACCATGGAAATTGAAAGGTGCCTTAACGCTGTGAGGAGAATTCCTAATGCCCATCCACTTCCTCTGCATGCATCCCTTCTCCCAGCTGAGCAACGACGTGTATTCCTGAGTCCCCCGAAAGGAAAGAGAAAGGTTATTGCAGCAACCAATGTTGCTGAGACATCAATCACAATCGAGGATGTTGTCGCGGTTATCGACACTGGCCGCGTCAAAGAAACGAGTTACGATCCTAAAGACAACATGGTCCGACTACAAGAAGTATGGGCATCACAAGCGGCATGTAAGCAACGACGAGGACGTGCTGGTCGTGTTAGGGCTGGTGCATGCTACAAGCTCTACACACGGCAAGCAGAGAATAAAATGGCACCTCGACCAGACCCTGAAATCCGCCGGGTACCATTGGAGCAATTGTGCCTCTCCGTCAAGTCTATGCAGGGCATCAACGACGTCGCGACTTTCCTGGCGAATACCATCACTCCTCCTGAAAGCGTGGCCGTTGAAGGAGCCTTGGGCTTCCTTCATCGTGTTGGAGCCCTGGACCATGACAAATTGACAGCCCTTGGACGATACTTGTCGATGATCCCCGCCGACTTGCGATGCGCCAAACTCATGGTTTACGGTTCCATTTTCAACTGTATAGACCACTGCATCACCATCTCCGCAATTCTAACAGTGAAGAGCCCCTTCGTCTCCCCCCGCGACAAGCGCGAGGAAGCAGACGCTGCCAAATCATCCTTCTCCCGCGGAGACGGCGACCTCCTCACCGATCTCACAGCCTACCAACAATGGTCAGAGCGTGTCAAGGCCCAAGGATACTGGCAGACGCAATCATGGTGCAGCGCCAACTTCCTCTCTCATCAAACCCTCCGCGACATCTCCTCCAACAAAGCCCAACTCCTCACCTCCCTCAAAGACGCCGGCCTCCTCCCAGTCGACTACTCCTCCGACCCCGCCGACCCGCGCTGGAACCGCAACGCAGGCAACCGAAGCCTCCTCCGAGCCCTAATCGCCGGCGCCTTCCAACCGCAGATCGCGCAGATCTCCTTCCCGGACAAGAAGTTCATGAGCTCCGTCACCGGGACCGTTGAAGTCGACCCAGACGCAAGAACGATCAAATACTTCAACCAGGAAAACGGCCGCGTCTTCATTCACCCCAGCTCTCTCCTGTTCTCAGCCCAGAGCTACCCCGGTTCGGCAGCGTACCTAAGCTACTTCACCAAGATGGCGACCAGCAAGGTCTTCATTCGTGATCTAACTCGTAAGTTCCTACACTTATCTCTGCTCAGTTTTCCGCCTCCATTCTGGAATATACTCAGCGAAAACATGCACTGCATATGAATTGACCGTTTACTAATTCATCGGATACTAACAGCGTTCAACGCCTACTCTCTCCTCCTCTTTTGCGGATCCATCGATCTCGATACGACGGGCCGGGGCCTTATTGTTGACGGCTGGTTACGGCTCCGTGGGTGGGCGCGAATCGGTGTGCTTGTTTCTCGCCTACGTATGATGGTGGATGAGATTATTGCGGCGCGGATTGATAACCCTGCCTCTGGGCCTCTGTCTATCGAAAAAGGGAGTGGTGAGAAGGATGATATTGCGGGTCGGGTAATTGAGGTTGTGAAGAGGTTGATTGAATTGAATGGGCTGGATCAATAGTGGTTTGACTGGCTTGATTATACTTGGATAAATCATGGATAGCGCTAGTGAGGTGAGGTCTAGAAAAGTTCCTTTAGAGTAAGATATAGATGAGATAAAACTGCTGTCATGGCGGCGCCCTGGCAGTCTACTAGATCTATATATCTATATAAAGTGCGATCCAGGCAGATCAGACCCTAGGGTCTGATCATAAACCTCATTTTACTTGTGGTAGACGCTAAAGTTGCTGATGTTTTAGACGCGCGTTGCGCTAAGGTTGTCTGAATCTTAGAGAAGCAGCGAGATCGAACGACCGTCCGAAGAACTAGGCGAGACAAGGATAACCAGATGATCGAAGAGCTGGTTGACCGGCACTGCCATAGAACTACTAATACTCTATCTATCCGACGAACCGTTTGATATCCTTGTATATCTCAAAGGTGCAGTCTATCTCCATACTATTAGCAG